ATATCGGTTGATTTTTTTTTCAGTCATTAAGCTTTGGCCATGAATTGTTGATAACCGAAATAGTCAACCAAATGTCACTTAAGGTTGCGTACGGAATCTCTATTTTAAACTTTCGTTTACATAAAGGATGCATGTTCGTATGTGACCTAGTAATAGTGCATGATTATTCATAACTACTCCGGCTGTAGTGCAGAGATGAGCGGAATAGAAGAGCTAGATTCTGATAAATGTTTTTTCTCACAGTCTTAATAAATAAATATTATAAAATCGGTGGTTTTTTTTCTCAATCTTAGTAAATTAATGTTATTAAAAAAATCTCACGCTTTTTCTCACTTAATCTAAGTAAATAAGTTTTATTAAATAAATACTTTTTTTGCTCACTCTACCAATTTGGTTTGAATTGACAGCTATGACATCACAATATGGCGCCCAGTCGGTTCTATTCTTAGCTGAATCGCATTATATCTGGTATAATCCAAACCCAAGTTATAAGGTTTCAAAAAACGACGAAGCTCTTTAAGAAAATGTGAGTTTTGCCTTTTGGGCTTCGGTTGGCTGGTCTTGTTGTCTTTGCACTACTGTGCCCCCAGATAGTCTACATAATTTATTTCTTGATTGATCTTCGTTTATATAATTTATTATTAGTATTACTAATAGCGCGTAATTCTTCCTCTAACTACCTAATTAATAATTTATAGAAGCAAATGCAATGCAACTCACTTGGTGTTACGTAGCTTTATGCTGAGCTTATGGCACAAATATTTACATCTATATATACTTTTACTGGATTACATAGAGACAGTTATCGAAACAGCAACCTTTCGTTATCGGGGCAAATAATTAACCATTACGCTCCTGAGGCCGTGTTCATGAATCTTTATTAATTTGATTGCTATGTTTTCACGTTGTTGAATAATTATATGATAACATTTAAACTTACCATATTACCTCGTAAAAAATAGTGTATACCTCCTCTTTTTATTTGATAAATCCACATTCTTTTGCTAAATTATGTCATCCATCATTATCAAAATCCGAGCAGTGATGTTTTGCATCCAAGCAACGACATCAAAACTTAGATGTGACCGTAAATATTGAGAGATGCCGCCGATGTAAAATATTAAATTACCCTCAAGAAACAAAAACGTCAATTGATCGAATAAATATCTCACAATCACAGACCTAAATATTTTAAGGAGACCAACCATGTGCGTCAAATAGCTTTTGAGTTTGTGACGGTGTAGGAGAATTCTTTTATCAATAGAAAACCACGTTATTTGTGTGTCATAGGCTATATTAACCTAAAAAAACGGGTTGCACTCCGGGAGTGCCGCAGAAGGGAAAACTTGAATATAAACGTTGTGCATTTTTGATATTTTGGAATGGTTAGGGAATAATTTTGCACGAATTGCTTTAATTATATTATCAGTATAAAAGTACTATCATGTATGTGGTAGAATACAATATTTATTTATTGCGCTATCGTACACAAACATGACAATTTATATTACATTAAAAAGTTTATCCTTCAGAAAAATCAACTTACATGAATCACATTTAAGCGCATCTAACGATATCTTTTGTAAAAAAATGCTTTTTCTTTGCAATTAAGCTGCCACCTGGACGTCCTAATTCATCATCATCATCATTTAATGTCCCCACTGCTGGGGCACAGGCCTTCTCTATGGATGGCTTAGGGAGATTGGGCCATGACCCACCACGCGAGCCCAGTGCGGGTTGGTGGGTGCTAACGACTGCAGATGCAACCGGGACCAACGGCTTAACGTGCCTTCCGAAGCACGGAGGAACTCGAGATAGTAAATTTTTGGTCACCCATCCAATGACCGACCACTGCGAAAGTTGCTTAACTTCAACGATCGCAGCCGAACGCGGTAACCAGTTGCGCCATCGAGCTCCTCAGGACGTCCTAATTAGAGACTTATTATTATAATACGATAAAATAAAATATAACTATGTTTCGTCCAATATATTGAAAGTCAACAACCTTTCCAAATTTATTGTTTTCGTCTTACGAATTTACGATCAGGCCACGTGTCCTGACGCGAGTTTAACTTTTGTTACCCAGTACAAAATAAGTGTACAACGCCGCTAAAGAAGTTTTCACTTCAAAAATTTGTTCGTGGTAGTCGAATTTGCAAAGTAAGTCTGAGAAAAAACGGTCGAACGAAACCGTTTCTTAAAAACGCTGCCTTAACGATGAGAGATACACTATATGATTGAGTTCTAGATAAATGTTATTAGTATATACGTAGTTATATATCATATTTATCATCAATTATGAATTCTCATCAAAATAAGTAAATTTATCTTCTCACAAAACTTAAAACTTTAGTCCCAACTCTACACCGAAGCGAGGGGGCGGGCCATTAGTTTTAAATTAAGCTGCACTAACCTTCTTGCGGCAAGTGAATTTGTTCAAGTAGTTTTTTTCTATGGCCTGAACCCTAAGAAACAATTAGAGTCTGTACGGAAAGAGAATGGGATTTAGATTGGAGGGTGCTGTAGTGCTTTTCTACCGTATTTGTAAGGTTTTACCCCTTTTAGACATGATTAAATACAAAAAACCGCAAGAAATCATAACAACAAACAAATCCGTATCAATACAAAACTTTGACGTTTTACAGATTGCTGGGTTTGATTGCCAAATAAAAATCTTAATGTTAAGAAAATATAATTAGAAAAATTTCCACCGTGACCAGGCAGCCATCCACAATGTGGGTTACCTATAATGCGAAGAGATGGCGCTGCCTTGCAGCGTAAGAATGGCTAGAGGAATTTTGACGCGGTCCGTGAGGGCCGCGGTAACATAATTGGTCAGTGCATTCGCCTGGATTGCGAAGGGTGCGGGTTCGAGTCCTGTCTGCTGCCTGGTCCGCGTGGAATTTTTTCTAGTTATATTTTCTTTAGATTTAAACATCAAGCAGTTATATGCTTTAAAAAATAAAATTTATATCTTAATGTTAGTTCCGTTTTTCGCCACGCCCATTCTGTTTCCGCACAGACTCTAGTTAGCAACCTGTTTACCTATCACTACAGTTACGTCGAGATGTTTCGTGTTGTATCGCACCTTTGATGCTGTGGCTGTGACACGTAGAGTCTAGGGGCTGCGCTGCGTTAAGCGGGAGCACGGAGCGGACGTCCGCTCTATATTCATAGAGCGGCGCTGCGTGAAACGGGTTTTTGTCACAACGCTCTATGTAACAAAACTAACAAATGATTATGAAACTGCACACGGAGCGGCTGTGCGCTCCGTGCTCCCGCTTAACGCAACGCAGGCCCTTAAAGATATGCTCTAAGCGTAGCGTTGACTTGGTATTGTAAATAGGGGTCTACACTGCGTTAAGCGAGAGCACGGAGCGGACGTCCGCTCCGCGTGTTTGTTTGACGTATGAAACTGTACACGGAGCGGATGAGCGTTCCCTGCTCCCGCTTAACGCAACGCAGGCCCTTAAAGATATGCTCTAAGCGCAGCGTTGACTTGGTATACATGTAATGTGAAATAATGCATGATATTTAGACTCATGAATGAGCTCAGGTTTGGCACAGAAGCTGATAGTAGCACAGTACGTTTAGTACGAGTTTGAGCTCGCGAAAACTATCATAGTTTACGTAATTGTAAATTATGTTTCTATGTCCATTTTGGTGAAAAGTAACCAAATATAATTAAAATTTAATAAGAAACAAATGATTTAATGATAAAACTATCGTAGTTTTCGTAATTGTAAAACTCGTACTAAGGGTGCAGTATGTTGCGTTATGTACACTGCGTCATATAGTGCATGCTTTTCCTACGTTTAGTAGTTAGAAAAGATTATGTTACCTAGAGTGTTTTCTTAAAGGGCCGTCCATAAATTACGTCCACGATTTTTTCAGATTTTAGAACCCCCCCCCCCCCCCCCCTACAATCATCCTATCGTCATTTCCAGTTTGACAAAATTAAAACATTGCAGATTTGAGAAAAGCTAGTATTATATGTAATATTATTGTTAGAGTATTTTATCTGTGGTTATTACTGTATTTGTGTACATCTATGTTGCATTATGTATGTTTATTATTAGTTATTTTAGTATTGTACGTGCCTTAACCGCCTCTCACATTTGCAGTCTCACTTATTAGGTGTGCTGGAAGAAATTTCTTTTTAGAAATAATCTTTTTGTACGTGAACAATCAACTATAAATAAATAAATAAGAATGACGTCAATTTCGAAACACCCCCCCCTATCTATCATTTACCGTCATCCGCAGACCAACCCCCCCCCCCCCCCCTAATTTAGAATGACGTAATATATGGACGGCCCCAAAGTAACTGCTGCATATAGAGGCTTAAGTCAGATTGGAAGTTGAATTAAAGTTAATGCTCACAGTTTGTTTCCGATAGCAATAGAGCAAATCAAATGTACGCCTCTGTATCTACTGTTCTTTCTTGTATATCTATCCAAACACCTACTGTGTTATGATTTTATTTATTTTTTAAGCATTTACCTGCTAGATGTTTAAATCTAAAGAAAAGTTTACTAGAAAAAAATCCACGCGGACCAGGCAGCGGACGGGACTCGAACCCGCATCCTTCGCTATCCGGGCGAATGCACTGACCATTATGCTACCACGGCCCTATTAGCCGCGTCGAAATTCATTCAGTCATTGTGGGTTACCTACAATGCGAAGATATGGCGCTGCCTTGCAGCTTAAGGCTAGGAAAATTTCGACGCGGCTAATAGGGCCGTGGTAGCATAATGGTCAGTGCATTCGCCCGGATAGCGAAGGATGCAGGTTCGATTCCCGTCCGCTGCCTGGTCCGCGTGGATTTTTTTTCTAGTAAAATCTACTGCGTTTTTCTATAACGCCTCCCGATTTTTAAAAATCGTACCTGGCAACACTCCAATTCGAGCGAAAATCCGCTATGCCCTCTGCCCTGATCCTCTTGATAATATATGATTATTGATTATGAATTTCTAACGATTGATTTGGTTTGATTCCAGATGGTCCAGAAATAGAGCACAATGTAGGAGAACAGAGCGCCCATCTGAGTGATGTCGGTGAGTACGGCCAATTCAATTCAATTCGTTTATTGCATATACACAATGTACAAAAAGATGTTAAATATAAGTTATGACAACATACGATCATTATGGACCCTGTCGGGCACGCAACTAAATGAGAGATAGAAGAGAGGAGTTACGTTCAAATTTCTATGTTAGTTTACAGATTAAAAGAGTTAGGTATGATTTTATTTATTTTTTAAGCATTTAACTGCTAGATGTTTAAATCTAAAGAAAAGTTTACTAGAAAAAAAATCCAATGTGGGTTACCTACAATGCGAAGAGATGGCGCTGCCTTGCGGCTTAAGGCTAGGAAAGTTTCGACGCGGCTAATAGGGCCGTGGTAGCATAATGGTCAGTGCATTCGCCCGGATAGCGAAGGATGCGGGTTCGAGTCCCGTCCGCTGCCTGGTCCGCGTGGATTTTTTTCTAGTAAACTTTTCTTTAGAGTTAGGTACTGAATGTCACTATTATATAAGTTGTCAATATTTATATAAGTTAAGATAAAATTCATTCAATCTATATAAACAATTAATTAATAGGCAGATAATATTTAATAATAAAAAATAAAAAAAAGTTATCCCTTAATGTCAAGTTAAATAATATTTATGTAAGTATGTTTGTGTGTATAATTGTATAAGTATGTCATTTATGTGTATGTGGTATCATTTTATTGTCATTTTGTACATGATAGTCGCTATTTACTTAAGATTGTCACTCAAATAATCGTTAATACTGTAGTAACACTTCTCTATTAATAACAGTTTTAATTTTTTTATAAATAGAATGCCACGGTACTTATTCCGTACACCAATACACAGGTTATACGCCAACATTATAAGATTTTAAAATTTAGACCCTTTATAATTTAAGTAGAACCCGCCGCAACTTTTTTGGCAACAATCGCCAATAGAGCGCACTAAACTAGTCTCTTTCACTGTCATGCATAAATAGTCCAGGCAACGAAAAGGTATAGAGGGAAATGCTTAGAACACAATTTTTGACTTCGTAACTTTGTTAGGACTAGTTAGGAGGTAAACATATCAAAAGTCCCCGCAGCGGATAAGAGCGGATATCTCGAAAACTATACAAGATATCAAAAAACTTGACTGAATAAGACTTGTAGCAAATTTAATCAGCTTTCACTTTTGTCGAAGTCTCATGTCGCTAGGATGCATAGTTTCCGAGATATATGCGAAAAACCTAAAAATGGGTCCTTCAATCAATGTGAGTCCATTAGATTACAAGATATGGCAACACTTGGAGAAAAAGGCATGCTCAAAGCCTCATCCCAATTTGGAGTCACTCAAGACATCCTTGATTAAGGCAGCCGCCGATATTGACATGGACCTCGTTCGTGCTGCGATAGACGACTGGCCGCGCAGATTGAAGGCCTGTATTCAAAATCACGGAGGTGATTTTGAATAAACTTTAAAGAATCTATGTTTTGTTAAGTTCATTTTGGTATACAAATGGTTACATAATGAATAAACTTGTTTCAATTATTTTATATTAAACATGTGACAGAATTTATGACCTGACTAGGTATATACTACGATACTACTGTAAACTTACGCATATAACATAAAATATTTATATATCCCTTCCCCTGTTACACTTTTGAAGAGTGCACCATTTCACGGTTTCTCAGGAAGCGATGAACTTTTGGCACGAGACCCTTGGACTAGGGCCAAGGTAGTCCCCTAACCATCACCGGCACAAATATACTCTCCATTTTATGACTATTAAACATTGTCTTGCGTCATCCGCTTTATGACATCTGAAAAATACTAGATTGCACACACACACGTGAGCAATCAATCGAAATGACGTGGACTCCTGAAAATGTTAAACAATGAATTCGCTAATAGATTAATCATATAAAACGAAATATAATCTCGTTTCGTTTTATGCTATTCTATTTGGATTTGATAAAAAAGACTGGGTTTTAATCACACTAATATTATAAAGGCGAAAGTTTGCGAGTGTGTGAATATGTGAGTGTGTATGTTTGTTACTTCTTCACGTCTAAACGACTGGAACGACGAAAATTTGGTATGGAGTTAGCTGACACCCTAGATTCACACATAGGCTACTTTTATCCCGAAAAAATATTAGGTTCCAGAGGGATTTACAAGAAACTAAGTTAACGCAGACGAAGTCGCGGGCGACCTCTAGTGTCCAATAAGACACATATACATTGTTTTTGTTGAAGATCGGGTCATAGATCCGCAAGCTAATTACGGATTACTAAATTCAGCATCCATCGTTCCGGTGCACAGAGTAACTCGAAACAATATTATTTTTGTCAGACTTCTAAGCCTTACTTACTTGTATCAAGTTCCTCAATACAATTTAATCAAAATCACGTTTAACCCTCATTCTGTATCCATTTGACATTAATATGGCAATTAAAGTAAAATGGTATTGCAAGCTTTTGCTGAAATCTTAATACATATACAGGTTGGTCTTTTTTTAGATTCCTCGCACTTGGAGGTATCCGAAAATACCCCATGTATGTTCCGCGATTTTTCTTCGTTTTGGAGTTATATTTTTTTTTTGTGTATTTCAGAATAGTGTAGCAGGCAGAAATCATTAAGATTTCTGCCAGCGAGGTTTCAAAAATTCATATCTTTTTTCGTAGTGGGTATTTTGCAGTCTTTTTTTGTGACATAATTGTATTGAATGTTGTTTTAATAAAAAAAAAAAACAACTCAGCCTCCTGAAATTACTTAAAGTTACTGAAAAAAGGCTTGAAAGTTGTAACTTTAGTTTTTAGTAGGATTTACTCAAACTTTCAACTTCAATTTAAAAATACAAAAAGGAGTTTCCATAGCTTCTGGCTAAAATTAAAAACTCTGCATGCTTCTAAACTACCCAAAATCATTAAAAAAAATGTCCTTAATCAGCCTATTTTTGTTGCCTTCGAAGGCGGATAGGCTAAAAATCATTGAAACATGATTAAAGTATTGAAAAATATTTTATCTACTTTTTATCATTGGTGTCAATTCTGACATGATTCTCCAAATCTAAACTTAAATTTGACAACAGTGTATCTTTATCATTCTCAATACAGAATGAAAAGGAGATGCTGATTAAATTAAGTTTTAAGTTTAGAGAATCACACCAGAATCGACATCATTGTTATGGTAAATTAAACTTAAAAAAAATATTCAAATTAAATTTGAAGTTTTACGTCATAAAACTTCAAATTTAATTTAATTGAAATTCCTGTAAAATGATTTTAGCATGACATAATTTTACAATAATTTCGGTTTCACCACTAAGATTTTAAACGTAGAGTAAGTAGAGTTACTTCCTCTCACGCATACGACAGCGGTAGGCAGGCTCCTCCCTCACTCTAACCCGCATCGCCGCTTAGATAAGCTTAAGTAGGCGATGAGGAGGTGACTAAACACCTTGAGCCTCTTCAATTACGCCGTGATGTGGCGTCACTAAGCGTGTTCTATCGTTTGTACCACGGTGAGTGTTCTGAGGAGTTATTCTCTCTTATCCCACCTTCCCCTTTCCTTCAGAGGACCACGCGCGCTGGCCTACGTTGTCACCGTTTTACTGTGGCCACAATTCCAACGCGTACAAAGAAATTTGGTGACTCATTTCTTTGTCGCACTATCCGTAAATGGAATGCTCTGCCCGCTCACGTGTTCCCTCCCTCTTACAACCTGGGATCCTTTAAAAGAGGCGTGAAGAAGCAACATGCAGGCCGGCAGGGTGAGGATGGCTGGTGTGGCAGGTAGAACTGCTGTATCAGCTATCTTCGCGTCTGGACTTCACCTTCACTTAACATCAGGTGGGGTGAAGTCATTTGCCGGACCTATCTATAAAAAAAAAAAGTTATCACTTCTGTCGTGCGTCCCGAGACGAACACGCTTTTATTATTCTTGACAGACATCGGGATATGTACCTGATTGGTAGGTGTTAAGTACTGCAGATGCAGCCTGAATCAACGAGCCTTCGAAGCACGTATGACCTCGAGATAGTAAATTTTAGATCAACCATCCGATGACCAGCCCTTGCAGAACTTTCACGATCGCAGGTCGAAGCCGCTAAATATTTATGCCATCGCGCTCCTCACATATACGTACTCGCTTACTACTCCTATATTAAAATGACAAATAGCAAATACCAATATCTATCTTTATATATATAATTCTTCTGTGAGTGTGTATGTCACTGAACTTCTCTTAAACGACTGGACCGATTTTGATGAAATTTTTTGTGTGTGTTCAAGGGGATCTGAGAATGGTTTAGATTCACAATTTTGTCCGCTGGACAACCCCTATTTTTTTAGGGCGGTACGAAGTTCGCTGGGTCAGCTAGTCTATATATATAAAAATGAAACCCGTTTTCCGTTGTCACGACATAACATGAAAACGGCTTGACCGATTTGGCTGTTTTTTTTTGTCGTTTTCTAATACTCTGTACAAGGTTCTTACGGAAAAAAATATAAAGAAAATATCTCAGAAAGATTGAAAAATATAAATAAGATAGGTCAGCTATACAAAATAAAGTAGTGCATCAAAGCAACGCTAAGGCGGTACGAAGTTCGCCGGGTCGCCGCCGCTAGTATGTATATAAAACTCAAAGGTGACTGACTGAGATAGTAATCTATCAACGCACAGCCCAAACCACTCGACGGATCGGGCTGAAATTTGGCATGCAGGTAGATGTTATGACGTAGGCATCCGCTAAGAAAGGATTTTGATCAATTCTACCTCCCAAGGGGATAAAATAGGGAATGAAAGTTTATATGAAACTTTGTCAATTTTAAACCGATCGGGCTGAGATTTTGCATGCAGGTATAAGAAGAATCATAGATGAATGTCATTGTGTGTAATACAAGCCTGAGAACAAACATGTAGTCTACATTTCAGCTCTACACCGAAGCGAAGCGAGGGCGGACCGCTAGTTATAAATAAATAAACATTTCTAACACATCAATTCGTTTAGCCCCAAAGTTAGCACTGTAAGGCTTGTGTTAGTAGGTGTATATTCATATTATACTTATATTGATATAGAAATACCGATAAAGACATTAAATAAACGACTTAGGTGCAAATATGCTCGTATCCATCACAGAACCATTTGCCCTATTGGGATTCAAAACCGGGACCCCCGAGCAGGCGATACTTTGAAGTCCGGTGTACATACCACTCGGCCACTGAGATCGTCAATAACAATCTGAACAATCATATATACGTTATAATAATGCTATGAGTTTTCAATTTAAAGTTTAGCAAAGGATATTGGTTCGCAGTAAGAATTACTATCCGTCCAGGTTAGTCCGAACTTTAAAACTAGTTCAGACTGTCTGGATTTTTTCGTAATGCGACTGTCTGTTACCATAACTTACCAAGATGCCTACCATACCAATGTATGTAACTGAATAATTTTTCCATTTTCTGACAAAAATAACAGGTTTTTATATCTAAAGAAAAGTTTTACTAGAAAAAAATCCACGCGGACCAGGCAGCGGACGGGACTCGAACGCGCACCCTTTACCGCATACTTTTTCAAGTATTAAAATTTTGAAAGAAGAAATAGCAATTACAGTTATGTTTTTATTTTATTTTTAAGCATTTAACTGCTAGATGTTTAAATCTAAAGAAAAGTTTTACTTGATTTTTTTTTTCTACTTTAATACTTGAAAAAGTATTCATTTGACATTGTGGGCTACCTACAATGCGAAGAGATGGCGTTGCCTTGCAGCTTAAGGCTAGGAAAATTTCGACGCGTCCATCAGGGCCATGGTAGCATAATTGGTCAGTGCATTCGCCGGGATCGCGAAGGGTGCGGGTTCGAGTCCCATCCGCTGCCTGGTCCGCGTGGATTTTTTTCTAGTAAAACTATTCTTTAGATTTAAATATCTAGCAGTTAAATGCTTAAAAATAAAATAAAAACAGGATTTTATAGTCAGAAATGACGGCAGACTTTTTGCCAGGACTTTTCAAATTCCTAAATGGGACTCTATTCGCAGTGGAGCTGATACTGGCGGACGACCCGTCGTTGGGCAGGGACGGCAGTTCGCCCGGCTCCGGCCTGCCGCCGCCAGCGCCGATCGCCGTCATGCAGGCGCCTGCGCCGACGTCCGCGCCCGCACCCGCACCCTACGTCTACATCGTCGAGCAGCCCGCACCCAAGTCCCTCAGGTCAGTCCATAACACACCATACCACCCCCGCTAGAGACAAGGGTTACCAGATTGAGAAATCAAAATTTCTGGACAATATTATAAAATATCTGGACATTATTATTTTTGGCTGGACAAAAACAAAATCTTATTATTACAAAACAGAGGAACCTCAATCAAACAAAATTAATATTAAATCACTTTTTCTGCCACATAGGTATATTTAGCATTTCCTTTAGCCGCATTTATCATTTTAGAACCTTTATTTAGAAAAGATTTAAATTTAGTACAAGTTTCGTCAAAGTTCAATCGAATTATTGAATTCAATCCCGGGCATAGATAGCAAGAGGCCGCAGCGGAGACAGTGTTGCCAATTCGGTGGAAAAACCACTAATACTGGTGGTTTATAATTTTCAGCTTCATTTTAGCTGGACATTTTGCCTAAAATCGGGACACTGGACAACGTGTGAAATAGCTGGACAATCCAGCCAAGTCCAGCCAATCTGGCAACCGTACTAGAGACTCAAGACAGACGATATACATTAACACTGAAGTCCATAACTCTCCGTTTCCATAGATCTTTTATTCCACGAACCTCGGATTACAGAACAAAAGGCATATTTTTGTTTTGACTAAGGCCTAGCCAGTGACGCATGGAAGGTACGAGTAGGGCGAGTACATCTATAGCAAGTAGGAGTATACGTTTATGCACGAAACATGTTCCAATATTTATTATAATCAAATAATGGATAATTCGAGGCTCTCTATATTATTAATTTTAAGTAAAATTTGTTAAGGGGTGGCTGAAAAACAGCGTTGGTTCAGGTCTAGGCTTGACCAACATTGGCTGAGCCATTCCCTATTGTCTTATTTTTAATGAAATTTTATTTAAATATCTGTTAACATGTAAAAAAAAGACAATAAATTATTATTATTATATGGAACGCACACGCAAGTGTCGGCCACCAAAGCAAATACATTTTTTTTTGTCTTTGTGAAAATTGTAAAATGTTTGAACAAGGCGGCATAGTTTTGATAGAAACTTAATATTCACGGGGCGTATTCACAACACGATGCGTAGTAGTGTACTGACGCGATTTGATATTCGCCTTTGACTTGATATTTGCTTTGGTGGCACGCAATTTGCGCTCCACCTGCCTTTAGTTCTGTAATCTCAGCCACGGACGGTATAATTATGGAATGAGCTCCCCTCCACGGTGGTTCCTCAGTAACTATAACATGATCCGCTTCAAGAGAGTCTTAAATAGTATTCCACGCAAGGCCACTCTAGCGCTCGTGCGCGAGCGGGCGTAGAGACGCTACTAAAGTTCGACCGGAGTGCACTGATGCCAGATTGGGGCGATTCTCCCCAAATTTGGGGGGTTTTTAAAGCGATGGGGGGATAATTGGGGGAAAAATATTTTTGGGAGGATTAATGGAGGGAAGAAATTTGGGTTTGGGGGAAATGGGAAGTTTTTAATTCCATTTTTTATATTAAAATAATAACACTATCAAAACAAAGTTATGTAACAAGATTAAAGCCAGAAATATGTTAAAATGTCGTGTCCTGTTGTGGCGCACCAGAAACACATCGGTTTCATGCATTTACTATGGTTACAGACGTATTTACGTGTCATGTCTTGTCGATCGAATATGTTTCTGGTTTTAGGAGTGGGAAAGACAACGAGTGCGAAGATGTTGATTTAGTAATGCATTCGTTACTGGCCTATAACTTGATTTGATTTACCTGGCAACACTGCAGTATTGGATGCTATTGCAAAAAAACATATTTTGTACTAAATATTGTATTTTATTAAATATTTTAAATGTTGGGGGGTTTTGCTTTTAAAACCTGTATTTTGGGGGGATTTCGGGTAAGTTTTGGGGGGAAGGCGAAATAGCTTTCTGGTAACACTGTCGGAGTGATGTGCAAAATTGTATAGCGATGTTTTGACACAGCTTTATGCACTATTACTGCATAACCTCGGCACAAGCAGGTGCCCTTGCATTTTTTTTGCCTCCGAAGGCAGATGACGGACGAGCCACCTGATAACGAAGACTTAAATAGAGTATTTATTTATTTATTTTTATGTTATAGGGGGCATACGAGCAGACGGCTCACCTGATGGTAAGTGATCACCGTCGCCCATGGACACTTGCAACACCAGGAGTATCACAAATGCGATGCCGGCCTTTAAGGAAGGAGTACGTTCTTTTTTTGAAGGTTTTTTTTTGTATTCCACGAAAGGCAACAGCAAGGCTATGTCACGGGCATTGCTGATGTTTATGGGCGGCAGGGTTAACATCAGGTGACTTGTCCGACATCTGCCTTCGAAGGCAATAAAATACAATGGCCCCTGCTGGTGCCGAGGCTATGCAGAAATAGTGCATGAGCTATCTCTAACATCGCTATTCAGGTTTGCACCTAATTGGTCATCCGACCTCGACATTACACTAACAGGGCCAATCAAAGCGTGCATTAAATTGCCGAAATTGCCGGCAACGTTGCGATTTTAGACATTTGCTGTCAAAATGACAAATTATCATCAGCCTATTAATGTCTCTACTGGTGGGGCACAGCCTTTCTTATGAATGGAATAGGGTGATTGGGCCGTGCGTGACCCACAAACGCGGGCCCAGTGCGTGTTGGTGGGTATTAACAACTGGAAATACAGCCGGGGCCAAGACGTGCCTTCCTAAGCCCGGAGGAGCTCGAGATTATAAGTTTTGATCACCCATCCAATGACCGACCATTGCGAAAGTTGCTTAACTTCCAAGATCGCGGGCTGAACGCTCCTCCACCACAAGATAGTACCGAAAGTTTATTTATATAATAAAGTAGACGCTTATAAAGGTTATAAAATATATATGTATGTATATGACAATAACATTAGTAACCCGCATTGGCAGGCCTTGCGGAACTCCGCCACGGTAATATTATCTATACAGTATTGTGACTCCGCCCTGTCCTTGAAAATAAATGCCTACATCGAGCGCTGCGTTGGCACGCGGTAGGGCCGCCAGCCTACAGTTTTTTATGTAGTTTTGTTTTTAACGCGAGTGTAGGTAGATTACTCGTTTGTCTCTTTTTTTCATCCTAACCACTTATTTATATATTATTCCAGATATTTTGCCCGATGGAAAAACCGAAATACCTAAATATTAGAAACAAATAACGTACTAGTAGATAGGTATATAAAAAATATTCTATAAAGGTAAGACACCTTTCCAATCAGGTAATTTAAAAAATGATATCCCTGGGTGTGTTATTGAAGAGTTCAAGCAACCAAAAACAGCAATTGTGCTGTTGTACGATATTGATCGTCGTTTGTTCTTTTTCATACTAAATTATGTAGGTATCTACTTAATTAAATCAAATATTTACAATACAAAACGCTCGTTTAAGCACGGCTAACTGCATAAAAAACAATTCAGACCGTTCGGTCGTCGTTGCGGCGCGGCGGCACATCGCGACTGGGTGCCCGCCGAGAGCACATCGAACTCGAGTGGCGTAGGTATGACTCGCTTTCCGACCGTTTGTATGAAGATAGAATACTGTATGATATTATTACCGTGACTCCGCGCTACGCAACGACTCCGGTCAGTGCCCTTAACTACTAGATTAGCCAAAAGTTTATATTAATGCATAGCGTACTTAGCAACGGTCACGCGGGATATAATCGATATATCAATTACATATATAATACTTCAAATATTAACGATAAAGTATAGAGGTGGGTCGTCGACGAAACTAAACCGTCTACTACCGTCAATCGACTAGTCGATCAACTAGTTGAATTCTTCGACTAGTTGACGTGATAACGGCAGGCGTTGAGGGGTTTATATCAACTACGCGGTGACTGGTCTACGAGCGCGACGCAACGACGACAACGGGGTCTTTATTTAGTATTCACTTTACATTATAGTCATTTAAATGACTGAAAATAAATTACAAATTTCAATATACAAAACTGCAACTACTTGAGGTAAACAATTATTATAAACCCGTTCATCCTGCACTGCATCGTTTAGCCAGATCCATCGACGTACTCTTTCACGCAATATCAGAATACTCTTGCCTTTTCACTCTAACAACTTTAGTTTAAAAAACGAACAAATATCAACTCCCACGCCATATGCTTAAGTTTCAAATTGCTTTATTTCAACGAATAAATGAACGTATGGACTTATAACCGGTAAACCGGATACGTTTACGCGTCGTCGTCGCGTTGTCAGTAGATATGAACGCTGTGGACTCTCAGTTTAGCCGTCTATGAATTCAACTAGTTAACGAATGAACTGTAGACCGTCGAAGCGTCGATTGAACGTAGACCGTCTATTTAAACCGTTCATTAATTCAACGCTCATTGCTAATAAAGTAGTATCCAAATAAAAAATCAAGAGTCGGCAGAGTTGCGGAAAGTTCAACACTCCTAGTGCATCAAAAGTTATTTTCGGTCCTAACAGTTAAGTGTTATTTTAAAGTCTGTTACCCTTTACACTTTACACACACATCAGCCCATTCTGAGAATGTCTTGATAGGCGAAAGCATAATTTAGCAGAGGAAAAGGTATCCTCATGGAGAGCCTATAGCCGATTGACGGGTTATATCAGACCCTTACTGACTAAAACACACATGTCAGGGGATAGTCCTGGTCATAAAGTCTTTTATGGCTTCATCGGCAGTCAGCCCGAAGGTCGATACAATCTCAACATTCCCCAAATTGTCGTCACTGCTATTTACGATACCCCTGGTCATAAGGTCTTTTATGGCTTCATCGGCAGTGACCCATGAGAAAGGTCGATACAATCTCAACATTCCCCAAATTGTCGTCACTGCTATTTACGATACCACTGGTCATAAGGTCTTTTATAGCTTCATCGGCAGTGACCCATGAGAAAGGCCGATACAATCTCAACATTCCCCAAATTGTCGTCACTGCTATTTACGATACCCCTGGTCATAAGGTCTTTTATGGCTTCATCGGCAGTGACCCATGAGAAAGGTCGATACAATCTCA